TATGTTCAAAAATTAGGCTCCTTATAGTATGGTTATCTGCAGAGACAGATGCAACTCAAAAGACTGCAGCACCAACATTCCTTTACACTGTACACAGATGGTGAGATGGGGACTATCAGAGTTGTAACAGCTGTAATTCTTTTCTTGTTCTTACATAGTACCAGCTCTCCACATATTAAAAGACAAATTTTAAAGCTAAAATATTAGAACCACAAGCATGCATCACCACACGGGCTAATTTTTTTTTTTTTTTTTTTTTTTTGAGATGGAGTCTCGCTTGGTTGCCCAGGCTAGGGTACAGTGGTGTGATCTCAGCTCATTGCAACCTCCACCTCCCGGGGTTCAAGCAATTCTCCTGCTTCAACCTCCTGAGTAGCTGGAACTACAAGTGTGTGCCACCATCCCAGCTAATTTTTGTATTTTTAGTAGAGACAGGGTTTTGCCATGTTAGCCATGGTCTTGAATTCCCCATCTCAAGTAATCACTCACCTTGACTTCTCAAGGTGCTAGAATTATAAGTGTGGGGTTATCGCCCCTGGCCAATTTTTTTTTTTCTTTTTTTTTGAGACAGAGTCTTGCACCTGGACTTCTGGGCTTTTTTTTTTTTTTTTTTTTTTTGAGACAGTGTATGGCTATGTTGCACAGGCTGGTCTCAAACTCCTGAGCTCAAGTGATCCTCCAGCCTCGGCATGCCCAGTTGGGATTTTTTACTTTTACTCTTTTAAAGACAGGGTCTTGCTATACTGTCCAGACCAGAGTACAGTTGCTATTCACAGGCATGATCATAGTCCAACTACAGCCTTGAACTTCTGCGCTCAAGCAATTCTCTTGCTTTAACCTCCTGAGTGGCTGAGACTACAGGCACATGCCACCACGTCTGACTAAAATATTAAGTTTTGACACCAGTACGAGAAAGAACACAGCCGAAAATTTAAATAAGGATGATTTAAATGACAGTTGAAAAGAATATATTCTGAAAAAGGCAGATGACCTTGCACCACTGGGCTACCCTCTCAGATTCTTTGGACAACTGAAAAATAAAAATGTCAGCAGAGAATATAGTCAAGCGGGAATTTCCTATAAAATTAGCTTTCAGTAAAATAAAGCATACTGAAAATGTTCAGTTGACTTGTCTTTTTAAAAATAAACTTTAATTTCAGGACATTCATACGAGAAATCAGAAAATTTCCTAACTGTATCACAAAGAATATGCCATTGCTATTTAACTGCTGCAAAAGATGTCCACAGGTAGGTGTGTCAGGCTAGTGACAGATACTGAATAAAGTGAGATAATGAAAAGGTTTCCATGGCAGAAGTGTCTGAGGAAAGATGAGAGAAAATTAAAGCAAAATCATAAGTATTAGAAGTAAGTGGTAGTAAGGATGGCGACAAAATGGTAACAAGAACAAAGAGAAAAATAAGGGGCAAGCAGGGTGAGCAGCAATGCCAGAGCTGACTCTACCCAGATAGAGGGGCATTATTCAAGGTTCAGACAGCCCAGCTGGATGGTAACTAAGTTCCCAATCTCATCGGTTGGTCTGGGCTATAAACCACAGCCCCATTAAGCTATAAATGACAGAGATTCCTGCCAAGGCATGAGCTGGCAGAATGCTTATTCACCCAGCTCTGCCAACTAAGGCTGTATTGGTGTGGTCAATCAGGACATTTTGTCAGGTACACCAGCTACAAATTTCCAAATTCAAGGATCTGAGACTTTCCTTTTATCCCAGTAATTCCTTTTATCCCAGAAAACATGTGCTCTCTATCAAGGAAGTTCTCACAAAGCCTATATGGAATTAGTTAATAGTTAAGTGCCACTCACTATATGGAATTAGGTGATTAGTGAATTAGATGCATTTGCTATAGTTCTAAAAAAGACTCTGGAGTGCCACTACAGGACCATGTCTCTTGTATACTGTGACAGATGTTTGCTGAGCAAATGAGCAAGGTGAGTGAGAAGGGTCTGAAATACATTTGGATAATTTTTGAAATTGGGGGATTTAAAAACTGTATCAAAGCTGATAATGAGATGTGAGTTCATTTGAAAGGTGAAGCAAATGCGTGCAAATCCTCAAACTTGCAAAAATGCACATTTTGCATTCCCAAAGGAGACTGTAAAATCATTCAAGATTGGGGTCTGGCTCTTCTATCCCAGAATAAAACAAATATGCATTAAAAATATCATTTTAAGCAGCAAAGGTGCTTAATAGTAAGGATGAGAAATCAGAGTCTTAACTATTCAGTTTAATTTAACAAGTATTTAGGTTCCTATAATATACTTAACAAATGAAAAAAATTAAATGTATACAAATACAAAATCAGGTAATGTTAGAGGCTCCACTTTTTTTTTTTTTTTTTTTTTTGAGACAGTTTCGCTCTTGTCGCCCAAGCTGGAGTGCAATGGCATGATCTTGGCTCACTGCAACCTCCACCTCCCAGGTTCAAGCAATTCTCCTGCCTCAGTCTCCCCAGTACCTGGGATTACAGGCACCTGCCACCACGCCTGGCTAATTTTTGTATTTGTAGTAGAGACGGGTATTGCCACATTGGCCAGGACGGTCTCAAACTCCTGATCTTGGGTGATCCACCCACGTGGGCCTCCCAAAGTGCTGGGATTACAGGTGTGAGCCACCATGCCCCGCCGAGGCTCCACTTTTCAAAACTAAGTCACTAACTCCCTGTAAAAAGAACATTTCTTCAATTTATTAAAAGGCTGAATGGAAAGAACATGTAAAACACAAAGCAAATAACTAGACTAGACTCTGCTGCTGGACTGTGCTAACTAATCAACCAAGATACACAAGAGAGGGCCTTGGCAGTGGTTACTCTGGAGAGCCTCAGGCCTTAACTCTGCTGAGCTCTGACAAATCCCCCGGGTTTGGTTAGGTCCTTGTGTCTACCTCTTTTCACTATCATCTCACAGAACTTTATTGCTCCATGGCTCTTCTGTTCTAAGTTGGTCATTAAGAGTAAACAAAAAGGGACACGAGGCACTTCTGACTAAGACCAACTAGTTAAAGGTAGTACAATCTAAAATAAAACCCATTTCTTCTACCTCTTGGGCTCGTCTCTCAACATACACAAAAAGCTATTTTGAATTGGGTAAGTTTGATCTAATCTCCTAGTATCTATCTTTAATACAATAGTGTTCAACCTTAAGAATCACAAAGGGAGTCACTTTAAAATCCCCTTCCCCCATGTCTCTGGGCAAAAGAATCTACATTTTTAACAGACATCCCAGATGACTGATGAGTAGTGTACAACCACTTTTAAAAACAGCTGCTGCTCTATTACTACTTAAAAAATAGCCTCCGCACTCAAGAGTGCTTTGCCTTATAACACAGAAACGTTCATATTGTAACAAACTGGATTTTGTAAACTGAATTCTACTTTCCCATAAGTGGGTTTTTAAATTTTAAAGATACATTATTCATTTTGAAGGCTGGGGGTGATTTCTTACACTTTCTTCTATAGGCTACATTCCATGCTTTTCCATTCCTCATCTTCACCTCAGTGGCTAAAGATTTAGAATTTAGAAATCCTTTTAAAAGAGCCTTTTTACCCCCAATTTATCTTTTTTTATTCATCAGGAATGCGATGTTGACTTGTAAACCTTACTTCTGAAAACAAACCTTGAAAATGCCAAATATCTATTCAGGAAAGAAAATTTTTATACCAAAAAGGTCCACATTTAAGGAAAATGCTGCTATTAAACAATGCAGATTAGATACAAGGTACTGGGCAACAACGAGCATTTTATTATTTTTCAGAAAAATAGGAAACTTTTAAAAATTACCTATGGAGGATCATCACCAAGTAAGCAATGTCACTTCTAATAATGTACTTGGACACAGTAAACACAGTCTCAGACTGAAGGCTGTGGACTCTAGGCTCAGTTTTGCCACAAAAGAGCCATGTGACCTTGGGAAATAACCTCTCTAGGACTACGTTCAATTTATGAATAAGATGGTTAAATAAAAGTAACACTTTGATTCCAGCAGCTTAATTCACTGGGAGGTATTTACATCAAAAAGCATTTGAGGTATGTATCACCTCTAACGTGCTTGATCAAATGACATAATTAAAACTGAACTAGAAACTTGATATTGTGAATAACTTATTGAGATTTTCTTGTAGCTATCCATCACATATCATTGCACTTTGCTTCTTCGAAAAAGTGAATAGTTTGAACGTCTAAATATTCATATACTGACTTTTCTTAAAGTCAGGCACGTTAAGTGTACCATAGTCCAGTTTTGTAAAAGGAAATAATGTATCTTTTCAGTCCTTTTTCCCAATCCATTGTCACTTCAGACTGACAACCTTGAAGGCTTACCCACTAACAACAACAGTGTTGCAGTAATTACATCACAAAACTACCATTTCTTTCCTAATACTCAGATATTCTCCTGAGATTACAGCTATATTCCGGTAACCAACTTTCTTCTGTCTACTCTCATTCGTTAGCGCAAACATTTAAAATTTTAACCAATAATCAGTTCACAAATCATTATTTCCGACGTAATATACTGAGTCCAAAAGAAAAAAATCCAATAATCCAACAGGAAGCAACGCATGCATTTGGCAATTCCAAGGAGGCTGGCGAAGCACAGATACCTCGTTCAAAATAAATAAACTTTCCAAGGATCTTTATTTACCGACTTGGGAAAGGCAGGTTTGAAAACAACCAGTTAACTTCACTCCCAAGTTGGCATCTTAGAGAATCGTCTAGCTTTTGCAAAAACACCCAGGACCTCTGAGCCTCCCAGCCTAGAATTGGCCAGGGGAGCACACGCCCATCGGCCCTGCCTGGAGAGGAAACAATGGGAGAGGGGCGAGGGAGCGAGCCGGCGCCCCAGGCACCCCAATTCTACGGCCCCGGCCCGCCCAGACCCCACGCACCGCGCCCCCTACCCCGGCGCCCGGGCCCTCCAGGCCCCCGCCCCCGAGCCCCAGGACGCGGCCCACCTGCGGCGGCACGGGGAAACGACTGCACTTACCAAACAGGGTCAGGGCCATTGTAAAGACGTTCGCCGCCGCCCGCGAGTCCACGCGCTCCTCCCAGGCGGGCTGAGGATCACCTCATCGGCCCACCGCGCTCACACCTCGGAGGGAGTGGGGTGCCCGACGGGGCGTGCCGGGGGCGCCGGCACTCGGGGAGGCTGCAGGCCGGGACGCGGGGGCCGCTGCAAGAAAAAAGTTATTCACGCGTTATCCTCGGGTGCACCATCCCCGGGGAGCCCCGCTAGCTCTCCGCGGGCCGGCACTTGTCGCTGCCATCCGGCGCTGAGCGTGCGCGCGGGGGGAGGTACCTGCGAGGCGGGAGGCTTGGCCGCGGCGCAGTGGCAGGCGGAGAGGCGGCGCCGCAGTGGCGGCGGCGGCGGCGGCGGCGACGGGGAAAGCAGTAGTCTCGCACAGTCCCCGGCGGGGCGCGCTCACTCCGCATCCCGCTGCCTCGCAGACGCCATCTTGCGATAGCGTCTCCCACGAGCTCTGCCGCGCCGCAGCCTCCAGCCTCTCTCTCGGGCTCCCTGGCCGAGTTCCGTTCCCATGGCAACGGGAGCGCGCGGGGGCACGGGGGTGCGCCCTTATTCCCCGGGCGGCGAGGAGACGCCCGCGGCCCCCTGGAGGCGGCCGCCCAGAGCGGAGATGGAGCGGGGCAGTAGCTGAAAGCCCAGGCTTTTTCTTGAATGGAATTTGAGGAGGCGCAGAGGAGAAAACTGGCTGTTACTAGAAAGAGGAAGAGTCACGGGAGGATGCTGCGTGAATGCAGTGCCCGGGCAGGGTCATCTGGGGACCTGGTGCGCGTGAGGACATATTTCTCCTCCTGGCGCCCTTCGGACTCACTGAAGCTGGAGCCGGTGACTTGAAGCTTCAAGGCTCATGAAGGAACAGGCACTGAATGCTGCTTTCCTCTCCGTTTGGACTTATGAGCGGCCAGTAGTTCTGATGAAATTGTCACACATTAGGAAAGAGGAGTCGTTTAAAACCACCTGAGATTACCTAAAATAATTTGTTAAAAGGCCGATGCTTACACCTGATTTTCTTCCCTTTACGTTATACCTCTTTGATATCGTCTCAAGGAAGAAAAATCAGCATGTGTCACTGACTGGCACTTATTTGCCACAAAAGATTGTTCCCCTGAGCTTCTTGTATTTGTCTCACAATCACTGGCAACATCCTGCTTTCTGGGATGGTCTCTCCTCACCTCTGTCTCTGCCATGAGGAGCCATACACCACCTTGAGATTGTCAGCCAAAAGATGTTCTTGAAAAGCTGGGTTATGATGTTTTTCGTCCTTGTCGTTTAATGTATTCAAAAAGTCATTCTTCTCTAGTTGCTATATGTGTGCCCTGTTTAAGAAATTCTTTTTTCTTGTTTGTCTGCTTAGGGATTTGACACTATTTTGGTATCTGATCATGTAGATCTTCTCTTTGGTTCTCCTTTCTTTCTACAGGCATATTTCCTCTTTTAGTTCCTCAGCTTCCCTAGTGTCATTTCCCTCTTCTCTCTGATTGTCAAATAATTCTTTAAGAATATTACAGAAATATATTGTATTTAATGTATCTTAGACATCGAATCGTGATAAAGTGGGGGATTGCTACAGTACTTCCAATGGAACCACAGTTAATTCCACCATCATTATTTCACAGCAGACTTAAGCATTAGAAGAAAAGCAGGTGGGAAGGAGGAGCCAAGCCTTTTGTTTCAAGTCAGTTAACTCAAGAAGAAAGAAATATTAAAATGATTCAACGTGAATGGGCAAGTGGTTAAGATGCTATATGCTTCCAATTTTGTGATGTAAAATGCCTCTCTTTAGCCACTAATCAAACTGAATCTTTAAAGTCCCCAGAATTTTTAATTTTTCATGAAAATGGACTCGATTTTGAACAACCTTTCTGCTAATGAAAGATTACAAACACACAGCTCATGAAGATAAATGAGAAACTCACGAAAGCTTTGTGGGACAGATTTTATAACCATATAAAGATTGCTGCTAATCCGCTCTGCAGCCAAATAAATGAAAAACTAAAGACTCCATTTACTCTTCCATCCAGTGGTCTTCAACATTTTTGGACCTAATTTTCTTTTGAGGCTCTAATGAAAATACTGTCCCTCCTCCTAGAAAAGTGCTTACGTACATACACACATTCACTAGAAAATTTTCACATAATTTCAAGAGAATTATGGGCTATTCAGGTACCTTAGGTTAGCCCCTGGAAGTGTTTTTTGTAATCTCAGAAAGTTTTTGCCTTTGTAATTTAAAAGAATATATATGTGTGTGTGTGTCTATATATATATATATATATATATATTTTTTTTTTTTTTTTTTTTTTTCAGAATAGAACCATTGAATTTTGAATAGGAAAACACCAAAACTCCCTTGATTTACAGGTAAGAAAATCGAGTTCCCAGTGGTTAAAAGACTTCCCCAAGTGTGTTCACCTGTTTAGTAGCAGAACCAGTGGGAAAATAGGTTTCTGGTGTTCTCATCGACCACCTCCTATCCCCCCATCCCCCACCAATTTAGAGGTTGCATGGTTTGAATTTCAAAAGAAAAATCTGTTTAGTATTAGAAGCAAAATAACAAGGAGAGTATTTTGTCCTCAGCCAATTTGCATAGAGTTTGGGAAGCTGCATTTTGTCCCATAGAGTTTATTAACATACGCTTCTACTCAGAACTCTGTGTCCAATCATCCTCAAAGAGAAACAATGCCTTTCTCTCCTCTTTGTTAAGCTCTGTTAGAGCATCAAGGTTTTGGTGCTGCAGCTCAGCTTGCTAGTAGCTCTCTCCATCCCTTGTTCTGACAGTGAGTCAGAGGGAAATGAGTTTCTGTGTGCTCTGCTCGGATTTACCCTCCCATTTAACAGCCAGCCTTTGGTTACTGGACTAGCTTTCCGCACACTAATTTGGCCAAATACGGCTAAATCTTAGAGACATACCCTGTTTAAATTCAAGTGAAGATCCTTTTCCTCTCTGCTTTCTACTCCCACACCCACACACGCGCACACACACACACAGAGCTGTTTTTAAGGTACAATTTGGAACAAAACAGTGTTAATGTTGCTATGTTTCCCTCTAAAGCATCTGGCTTTCCACAAGCCATTCCTTTCAACTAACTTCCAAATGGTTTGATGCTGTAACAAAATGCTCTCTATACTTGATCAAAGTGCCTGTCTTGAAAATAGTATTGGCTTTTATAATAGAGTACTTTTTCAATGACCTATTCCCATTGTATTGCATGTGCTTCTTTTCTCACTTAGGTGAAAATAAAGCCACAGCCTTTCAGCTACAGATTCAATGCAAGGAAGGGCGTTAACTACTTGGAGGTGATTATTATGGGTGGTGACTTAGATTGTTTATAAAAGAAGGCCAAAGAATGAGTTGACTTCTCAAAATATTTATATTTTCACTCAAAGATTTAATTTTGTGCTCAGCACCAAGTGCGTAGAAGAGCCAGATTTGTTTACTCGTTACTAACTAGCTGTCAGATTTTTAGACAAATGTTTTACTCTTTCTAGTTCTTATCTTCCTCCTTTGTAAAATGAAAGGATGGTACTAAGTTATCTCTAATGTTCCTTTTAGGTTTATCTGTCATTCTGTGATATTTTGAAATCTTTAAATTAACTGGTTTATGGATAAAACAGAGGACATTTTTATTTGAATCTTCAATATATTTAAAGGGCTGTTATATGTAAAGTTCATAAATACCTAATGTAATAAAGAAGTCATATTTTATTAAACCATTGGTACTGCTATTTCTTCTGCAGTATGTTGTATTAATAATGTTGTATTAATCATATAGAAAGCAACCTTTTTTTTTTTGTTTAACAGGATTAAAAGTGCACTGAACAACCCATTTCAAATTTACTAAAATAATTTCTCATTTTTATTTAAGTTTTGTTGACTAAACAGAACCTAGACAACCCTTTAAAATGGTTTTTCTACATTTTAAACTAATGACTTATCACAAGTGTTTTGAGTTTTCTTTTTGTTACCCATTTAGCTTCATTCCCATTGGTAAACATTGATTTGTTCCTCAGTTTTGAATAAAGCAGAAATTAATGAGGCGCTTTCTGCCTCACAATAACAAGTTAAAATTATAGCACTTTATCATGTCAACACAGCTTTAAACACTACGAATACCAGTGCTATTAGCACAGTTCCTAAAATAGTGCAGAAGTTTGCTAGTGAAGAGAAAAATTACACTGTATATTTCTGCTAAGGTTAAGATTAAGAAAGTTAAAATTGTTTATTTAAATATTCACAATATGTGACATTCTTTCTATTCCATATTTATGTTACTAGTTAAAGTATTTGTTTCCATTGTGTGAATTTGTTTAAAGTGGATTTGTTTTTGGTTTTGGTTTTGTTTTGAAACAGGATCTCACTCTGTCACCCAGGTTGGAGTGCAGTGATGCGATCTCGGCTCCCTGTAGCCTTGACTTTGAGGGCTTCAGTCATCCTCCTACCCAGCCTGTGGAGTAGCTGGAACCACAGGTGCATGCCACCATGCCCAGCTAATTTTTAATTTTTAGTAGAGACAGGGTTTTGCCATGTTGTGCAGGCTGGTCCCGAACTCCTGAACTCAAGCAATCCACCCCTCTCAGGTTCCCTAAGTGCTGAGATTGCAGGTGTGAGCCACTGTATCAGGCTATTTGGTCTGTTTTGGTTTTTTTTAGACGAAGTCTCACTCTGTCACCCAGGATAGAGTGCAGTGATGCAATCTCAGAACTCACTGCAGCCTCCACCTCCCAGGTTCAAGTGATTCTCTTGCCTCAGCCTCTGGAGTAGCTGAGGTTACACGCATGAGCCACCACACCTGGTTAATTTTTTGTATTTTTAGTAGAGACCAGTTTCACCATGTTGACCAGGCTGGTCTTGAACTCCTGACCTCAAGTGATCCAACTGCCACAGCCTCCCAAAGTGCTGGGATTACAGGCATGAGCCACCGCGCCCAGCCTATTTGGTTTGTTTTTAATAACATTTTCCTTAAACGTTTAATTCTGATGATTTTTTACCCCCCTTCTTTTTTTTTAATCTCACACTCTCTGAATTAATACCTTCCCTGATACTTGTGTGGCATTTCATGATTTACAAATAGCACTCTCACAGGACAAAGCCATATGCACACAAGTGGCTAAGGCAGTACTTGCCTCAAATATGAAGATTTAGACTATAACACTATTTATTTAAAAAAAATTATGTCCTAAACTGTAAAATTGCCCTTTAAGCTTAAATAACTCAATATTTTGGATAATTATTTGTGTTCTCTTCACCATCAGAGGATGCCTAAATTATAATAGTAATATTGGGCCTTAGAAATGAAGTAAAACTCAGTTTGAGAAATACATGAGAAACCTTAAGAATTAAAAACTTGCTTGGTTCCCCTGGAGCGCTTGCTGTATTAGCAGAAGATACTTTCACCAAAAATATGCTAAAATTAGAGGTGGCTATTATCTGGCTAGATACAGATTAGAAACTGGATTATTACTGAGGAAACACTGTTCAGTCCTTATTATATGGCTTCCAAAGTAAAAAGAAAATGTGTGTGTGTGTGTGTGTGTGTACGTGTGAAGTGAGGGGAAATTGGAATTGAAAATCAGAATGAAAATAAGGTTTTCTATCCTTGACCCAGAAGAATGGAATTCTTGTTCATCGCTCAGCATCGAGAGGAACTCTTAGTTCAATAGGCAATAGAACCACACATATTACTGTAACCCTAGGTTAGAATATTCTAAAAGACACATGCTCTAGTTTTTTAAATTTTGTGATACCTTATTTTGATGTAATGTCAAAATGGCCAATGGTTTGGAGTGGCACAAAAAAGGAAGGGAGTGGGTAAAGAAAAGGTCCGTTTTTGATGTATTTTGAATACATGTTTTAAAAGAATACTTATTTCCTGGTAAATAGTATAGCAGGTCTCTCCGAATTTTTTTGTAGGCTTAAAGTCAAATACATTTTCAAATACACATTAAGTAAAAGAACAATGATGATGGCTGCTCTTAAGTACAAGTTTTTGTTCTGAACTACAATCATATTATAGTACTTTAAGCCAGCATTTCTATTCAAGTGTATTTTTCTGAGGTCACCAGGCATATCTAATGCACAGTGTGGCTAAATGTCTATTTGACTGGAACAGTTGGATTTCTGCCAGATTTAGTTTTCAAGAGGGTCTAAGTGGATTTGGCTACAAATCAAATCTCTCTAACATGGCCATGGTTTTTCTGGTTAACGTGGGTGTCCACCGTAAGGATGACTTATTCAAGTTGATTAC